ACACATACAAATAGATTCATTCGAGAAGGTTAGGCAATTATTAGTTTTGCTGGAGAAGAAATTGGAAACTTGATTAATGTCGCCATTTTACAATCAACTAAACGCATGAAGGAATACAATGGCAATGACAGGGAGAGTACGAATGCGCGTGGCGCTTTTGGGATATTCCTTATTCATTCATGCCGATATGATCGAACGACAAAATGCAACAATTTTAATTTTAATTTCCTACTACAAGTATTTTGAGAAGTGTAATTTAGAATTAATGGCATTGTGTTTTAAAAGAAATGAAATGACAATATATTTTTTAAAGTTTGAAATTCGTTTTTAAGAAATACAGGATGTATTATTTTAATTAATTACCTAAAATACTCATTAATTTTTTTTTTCTCTCAGGCATAATAATTTCATTTATTAGAATTGATATGACTTTTAAAAAAATATTTTTTTAGAGATATTGGATTTTCGATCATTTTATTTGTTTAAAGGTGTTTGAAAATAGTAAGAAGAAATGATCCGATATATATATTTTTTTTTTGAGAAATATTAGAGAAATAATTAGACAGTTAGGTGGTACGTATAAGTAAATGAATAATTTATCCATTCCTTTTTTTTTAAATTCAAGTAATCTATATGAGTTGATTGAATTATTAACTTCCCCATACAAACTATTCATTTAAATGATTTTAGAAATTGAATAATAGGAGAAATATGAAATCATTAAAATCTCTCACAATTCCTTTATCATGTCAATTTTTAAATTAGACTTTGGTAGCAAAATGAATACGGAAATTTCATTTCATCATGTAAACTAACTTCCACCGGAAATAAAGCCATCGTGAGAAAATGAGAAAGCTTAAATACAAAGAAGGAATGATTCTCATCAAAGTATAAAATAAAATTCTCTTCCTTCATCCATAAATTTAAATCATAAATTAACAAAAAAAGTTGTGAATATTTGATTGAAAAAAAAGCTTTTGATTGGAAATGGAATGATATGATGAGATTATATGGTTATCAATCTTTTTTTTTCTTTTTTTTTCTCCCTCCACTTTTACCATTGTAAAAAGCTTGCTTTTTTTCGAGAAGAAGCTTCCACTGCTCTCAAAATTCTTTTCAAAACATTTTTCAAAGAATAATTTCATGAAACGATTGATTCCCTTCTTTTTTTTTGCCTTTTCTTTTCTCTTTTTCAAATTATAAATCATTTTATATCAGTTTTTAGCCATCATTGATGCATGTTTCATCTCATGAAATTTAACATTTTTCATTTTTCGCTCTCATAACCATTTTTTTTGCTAGCTTTTTTCTTTTTTGTTTTGCTAAAATTTGCTATCTGCGATCCGTTCCATTTCAGAGGCATTTATTTCAACTGAAAATGGTATGATAAAATGCATTCTGTTAGCCAATCAGTTCACATTTTAATATATTGAATCATTCAAAAGTTACATTTTCTTTTTTCATTTCTTTTTTTTTTGCAGTCATTGAATAGCTTTTTTTTCCCCGTTTTTGTTTTGAAATTCATGGTCAAGAAATCTTTTATTGTTTGATATAATTTTCCACTTTTATTGATAATGATGAGATGATGACTCATCCTGGGATAGTTTTACAGAGAAAAAAAAAGAGAGCTTAAATGCGAACGAAATGTTTGATTGTTTATTTTCTGTCAGGTAATGTGTGAAACAAACTGATGCACTTGCCTTTCCTATTTGCAGGCAACAATTTCTTTTTTTTTTTTCTTACAAAAGCTATTTCAATTTTAATTTTTTATAATTAACTTTTCTTCTCATTTATTGCTTCGCCTCTTGGAAGATGGGAAAAAAAAAGATTGGAAAGAAAATGCACCGAAATTTGAGCAGACAAAATTTGAGAATCGTTAGTAACTGCTATGTAAATTTCTCCTCTTACTTTCTTACTAATGCAACATATTTAGCTGATAGTTAAATGATCGAAATTATCCGTGTGATTTTAAACATATTAATTAAGCGGAAATTTTTGAATTTAAACTTAATCATTCAGTAAAGATGAAGTGAGGGAGGATCTCTTCAAATTTTATCCTATTAGCTAGCAATTAATTAATCTCTCCATCCTTTTTCTAAATTAGTGATGAATCTACTAAGCTTTTGATTGATTCCATTTTGCTAATCATTTCTCCATCATTTACAATGAAACATTATTCTAAATCAGATAACATTTCTTCTTCTTCATCTATCCCTTTTTTTTCTTATTTTCCTTAACTTCATCCTTAGCAATTTCAACGCATTTACACATATTAGGCTTAATATTAAATTTGAGATTAGACTTGCTACGAGAAAGCTAATTAGCGATACTTTTAACTTTCCACACAGTTCAAAAAGTGGCACAATTTTTAGCATTTTTAGAAAAGTATGAACATTCATCTTGTTCTATTCAATTTTTTTTTTTAATTTACCAAAATTTTACATTAAAAAAAATTGATAAATAGATATGAATGTTGTTGTACACATAAATATATATACTCTTCTTCTTCTTCTTCTTCATCTTCATCTTCATTGTCTTCGAATGATATTGAAGAATTGAGAAAGGCAAGATAACAGTTTAAACGGATGCCTTCCAGACATGGATTAACCTGTCCGATTTTTATTCATATCACTGTTATCATAATCGAAGAACTTCGATCTTTAAAAAAAGAAAATAGTAAAGCCCGAGATGAAATGTAAGCTATTTTTGGAATTCATGCCAATCTAATAAACTTTCACCCTTGTATAAATTAAAATGCAACTCTTCAATCTCTGTAAAACCATACTAAAAACAACACAAGCTAATGAAAATTGAATGCTAATTGGAAGAAGATACAATCATAGTAATTGAAGCTAAGAAATTTGCATCAATTCGAATAACGGAATAGTTGAAATAATTAAATAAAAGGATTCGCTAAAAATTTCTAATAAATGTTAAACGTGCAAATTACGTAGCGATTCAGCTTAACGTTTTGTCTACAAGCAGAAGACACATACGCTGTCCACTTCTATGATATTTAAATTTTAAAATCAAAAATCAAACTTGTCAGGAAAAAAAAAAGACAATAAATGATGATAAGCTTAGCGTACATCTAACATCTCTCTCTCTCTCTCTCTCTCTCTCTTTCTCTCTTTCTCTCTTTCTCTTTTCTCCCTCATCTTCTCTATTCTCTTCTCAATCTCTTCTCTCTCCACTCCATATCACTATTGCACTTTTTACCACAGTCCATCTCATCTCTTCTACTATTTCATGAACTGCATCACTGTCTAGCTCTATTTTTACGGACCGTGCATTTCTTGTTAAAACTTGACTCGTTGTGAGTAAGTTGTGAGTGGAATGAGTGGTGTTGATATATGTGTGTGTGTGTGTGTGTGTTTTTACCACGTCACATTGTTAAATTTCGACAATGATTTAGTTCAATTTTAAAAATATTAGGTCAAAGGTGATAGTGATATATTCGTGTTATATATCTTTTTTTTTTTCGCTTCAACAATATGAATATTTTCGTTGTAATAAATTTCATTGCTGCAGGGTTCTTTTCATTATTTGATCGTGTAATGTATTTTAAATTTTTATGTATACATGAGATCTTGTAAATGTATTGAAATGATTCGCGTAACTTTTAGAATATTGCATACTTTTATTGCTAAATAATTATTATCATGTATGTATTTATGGTTTGAAAAGAAATCATTATATATAAGTATTGGGTTTCAGGTTGGCGTTGCTTCATTCTGGAGCATGAAGGGATGTTAGTAGCGCGAACACAGTCATGACAACAACATATTCAATACATCCTCCCAGAGCAACAGCATCAAGAGGACTTCTATCTCATCATCATCATCATCATCATTCCCACTCACCACATCAGCGATATCGACGTCACCAGGCGTCATCTCTCGATTCCATTCGTACTACTGCCACGATCATAACACCATCATCATTGCAGCGCATTGTTAACGGTACCGACGGTATTCCATCTGCTACCGCAACTCCATCTGCTACTTTAAGCGTTATTCCACCACTACCACCACCACCACCACCACCACTTCCGTTCGACAATATTGCTGCGCCGAATCCTGCTATTGCTGCTCTGAACGGTACGATCTGTAGGCCATCCTCATCGGATTGCGGTGGCTCATCATCCGGTCTTGGTGGTATGACCAAAACCGATATTATATCATCCGACGAATCATCACTGGCTAGGTTCATCTTTTATTTCATCTTTCTTGCTCAATTTTTTCATCTTCATATATTCTTTATTATTAGTGTGTTGATAATATCTGATTGATATTAGCCGTACCTATTTAATGAGTAAGTGATACTGTAGGCTATTATACCGCTCTTTCCTGCTTCTTCTATTCATTCACGTGTTTCGTAATAATAGAACTGGAATTAGTTTCTAGCAGATATAAAAAAAAATTTCTTTTTTTACAATATTTGCATTGAATAAATTTCAAAATCATCAATAGTCTTGGGTAATTGATTGGGAAGTGAAAATGTGGTGGAGTCTATATTATGCTGAAATTACTTCGAATTTATGATACTGTCGGACCAAATGAAATTTATGGAAGGAATACGGAAGTATATTGTGACTCACTTTTCGTACTACAGTGCCATTCAACTCATATCATATCGTTTGCACTTTTGTCAATCAGCGTTGAACACATCGAAATTAATCTGAAACTTCTTTTTATTTTCAAAAAATTTATATTTTCTTTTCCTTAGTTTGAACTAAATGGATTAAATGTTATGCTTATCTCTTTTTTAGCTATATTAATTTATGATTACGATCTTTAGCTACAATTGATTTAAAAAAATCTGATAGTATTAAATATATCTGATATTTGTTACTACGAATATCATATCACATTATTTTCATACTGTACACAACAAATCAATTAAATCCCATTATTGATGCTTTACTAATCAAAGCTGTTATGAAAAAACTTGTGAAATTTTTGAGGGTGCTGTCTAGGTTGGCATTCTGTTGATATTGGAAAATGACATTAAGCAAAATTAGAGGATAAGAATGAGATAAAAAAAGTAATTTAATTAAGTAATCATTTAAGCAAAATGTTTTAATTGAATTCGATACAGCCGTTATGTCTTTAAGGATCATAAACTTTAATAAATAGTTAATATTACACATCACATCAGTAACTAAAGCTGTAATAAACTGTCGAGCTGAACTTCATTTCACGTTTTACTACGCTATAGTTTATGAGGCTTAGTTTTTTGTAATCATTATAACAAATAAAGTTTCCAAGGAAAGAATTATAACTTAGATGAATCCGCCGACTGCATTTTGTTAGAATCCGTTAATTTTTTCAGGATTTCTTCTCTTAGAAATGTGGAAAAGAAAAACTTAAATTAGTTAAAGATTAACATCTCAGCAATGTTGTTAATGTTTAAACACTCTATGATTCTGTTGTTAAATAAAAAAATGGCTATTCTTATGTCAGGTTAGGATACTACTTTGGTGTATTGCATTCAGTTTTCATTGTGAATTATTCAATTACGCCCACAGTTCAAGTTCTTCACTTGTGGTAATGCATAAAATTAGGATTATTTATTAATTTGTAAACCAACAAAAACTAGTTAAACATGTATACTTTTGGTCTTACATTCTATTAAATTCATAAAAATTCAATCTTCATTCCGTTATCTGTAAAAGTTGCTAAATTATTTCACCTTCAGTACTGTAATGCGATTTCATTATACGCAGTGTTATGTCCATTTCTTGGCTCTTTATTTCATCCTCCCTCTGCTTTTTCCGCACTTGTTACCACTAATATATCGGTGTTTTGAGAAATGTCAGGAGATAATTATATTTAAAAAGAATGAAAGAGGGAGCAGAAACAGTGCATTAAACTGCATGCAAGTTATATTACCTTAATTAACTTCAAATTGGATGGTATACCGCTGCATTAATTAGCAGCAATATGCTAAGAAAAAGGGGTTTAGGTTGGTATCGAATTTGTAACTCTCCTAAGCCAGTTAAGTTTTTTACGCAACGTTTAAAATGATCGGAGAAATGCCAGGAAAAATCACATTTAAAAAAAATCTAAAAATTCTTTTTCTGATTGCCAGCAACAGATCTTTAGAATTTGCGAAATGTTTGACATATTTTGTCTTAAGAAGAATATGAGTAATAAGAAAGACCCACAATATGTCGTGGAATTTTGTTAGCATTAGCGGTAACAATATA